AAAACTGTACTTTTTATTAATAAAAACTTTTGAACTATTAGTTCTTTAGACTTTAGCTTGGTTTCATTTCATTCAACGTAAAATGCGCAACGGAAACACTCCTTCACTTGCCCAGATAAAAATGTGCAACTTTTGCCTCCCCCTCAGTAAATTTAAAATGGCGACTAAAGCTCACATTGAGTTAAGGTGTAAACATCAGATATCCATATTGAACATAAACCTCAAATTTTTAAAACAATTTTCAGCTTTCCTCTAATAATAGTATTTGCAATCAGGGACTAAAGAAAGGGTAATTAAGTTTTGGGCCGCAATATATAAAAACTGAATAAGTTTAGGATTTGTTTGTGCAATTATGACCGCTTTGCCTTTTTTTTTTTTAATTATTATTTTCAACTTAATTTATATCATCTTAAGTATTAAAAGTAAATGCCGTAATGATTAGGGTGATCTGCTAAAAATCAACGTAAGCGGCAAATTTTTTTTAACTGGGAATTTTTTATACTTGGCAATTTTATATATTAAGCTGCCTATTAATTTAACAAGTTTGTTTTTATCAATTTTTAACTGATTGTTTTGATTCTTAACTTGTACTGCTTTTTAACCTTTTTATCGAATTTTAACTTCGAATATTTTATCACTGTTTTGCATGCTTCTGTAAAGTTTTAACATTTATTGGTTTTTGGGTGATTTCGTTTTTTAACTTTTTTACTACTTTACTATTTTAATTGGTTTACACTTGTTTTATGGAATTGTATTGAACAATATTTCAGATATTCTGATTTTCATACTCACTGTTGATGTAACTTTTAGAGATTTACGTATTTTAAATGTATGCTTTGCAGTGGCGTACGCAAGGGAGGGGTTTAGGGGTTTAAACACCCCCCTTGAGCTCAGACAAAATGGCAAAAATAAAAATTTTAGTAGAAATTAAGCGAGCTATTATTTTTATTAGCCTTATACCTACTTTTTTTTCTCACGGTATTTCTCAGAGTACTGAAAAAACATTTACTATAATAAGGTTGTACTTTTGAAACCAAATTCACGTGATACTGCTACGGACTGGTTCGATCCTTTCTGTCCAGCCAGTATAGTTTTCGAGACTGGCTGTCATTCGCGAGGTCTTTACGTGATGATTCTGGAATCCTAGACGTTCTGTCGTCTTTGAGACAATTCGAGAATTTTGGAGAAGCGGTGAAAAATTACATAAAAGAGGGAACGGAGTACGGTGGAGTTAGTTAGTCAGACTAAGAGTTATCTCTGCCGCTTGTCTTTCGGAGCTTGTCGTTAAATCTGTTTTGTTTTGTCTTAACAAAAGGTTCATTCAATCGCTGAACCCGTCGTTGAAGTTATTCATTACAGCTCGAAACTTTGAGATCGTAGCACAGCGGATATTTCTGTGTCAATATATATATATTTATAAATATATNTTGGATCTTTAGGATGTCAAAACGCAAGAATTTAGCAATTTTTAATTATTTTGAGACAAAATCACGACTTGAAATTAGTGAGGTGACAGCATCTAGTACCAATGCAAGTTTTTCTGTTGAACAGAAATGTGATACTTCCGTTGAAGAAAACGTTTCTAGCATAACAAAATCTGATGAATGTGAAAGTGGCCCTCAAAGTGCTACTTTCCACCCATATGATATTGGACTGTTTTCAGAAGATATTACATTATGTTCTTAAACTTAAAAAATCAAATCAAAATTTAACTAAACAATGTTGTCTAAATAAAAAGTCTAAATTGTCCAGCTGTCTAAATTAGGGAAATCATAGTGCTTTATTACAAGATTCGAATTGCTTTTAATAGTTTCAGAAAATTACGAACACCCCCCTTGAAAAAATTCTGCGTACGCCACTGATGCTTTGTGAATGTATCTACTCTCGTATGCCCTAAAATAGGGCGGGGCGAGATACAAATAAACTCATATTAAGCTACCTATTGCAAAGATTTCTTTTTTCAAAAATAAGCTCTGTCTTATCAGCTTTTTGAAATTCTAAATGTATTAGCAATAGAAAGAAAATCTTTTCTTTTTCTTTTCATAATTACCTTATCAAAAAATGAAAATTTAGGGTAATTCTGACGTGGCATATATGGGGGAATCATGACCATCAACTGATGGACACCCTAGAACTGTTGTTCTGAACATAGTCAAACCCTCAAGAAGCCCAAAGTAGCATTTTTCTTTCATTCCATGCACGCAGGAGGGGTCGTGATTGAATATTCACTCATCTGTATTGCCATGTCAGTTTTCCATCCTCAAAAACATTACAAATAAAATTTTCTTTAACATAATGACCCAACAATATGTAAAAGTTCCAGCCTTTCACAAGTATAACCAAATCTTACTCTAGCTGAAAAACATTTAACAAGTTCCTGTTCTTCTTTAATTGTTAAATAAATTTAATTCAGATGTCCGACATAAAGATTCTCGGTTCTTTGAACTAACGTTTCAGCTAACCCACAGCTGGATAACCAATTTAAGTATTTCATATGTTTCAGCTTCACTCTGAACCTGTTTCCTCTTCTTTTATACCATAACAGCTTCCTTCAGGTTCCTTGAAAATAAAAAAAGTAGGAAGCTATTTTTTGCAGTTTTCCGCAACAGAAAAGCACAAAATCATTTATTTTATTAGTTAATATAAAACATGGTCATAATTACCCCATTCTAGTAAATAAAAAAAGGGGGAAATTATGACTATATGTTTTTAGACAATATTTAACGTAGACAGGAAATACTAATCAAAAGTAGAAAAAAAAAACACCATGAGCTTAGTCAAAACCGTTTTGACCTTACCAGAAAAATTTTATTTGAATATATTGCAAATGAATGTAGACTAAAGTAAAACAATTGCTTTTTGTCTATCAGTCTAACAGCAATGCATCGAGAGTCAAAATTAATGGATTAGGCAGCAGGCCATGAGCAAATGATAGAAAATAAATAATAGTCCGTTAAAATGTTATCTGTCCCCATTCTGTTATTGTATTTCTGATAATATACTTTTGCACTGCAAGTGAAAATTCAGTTGAAATTAGATTCTTCTAAAATAAGTTATAGAACGTGTTGTGAATCTAGTTAGTTATAGAAAGCAAATCTATTATATTCTAATTTAACTGTTATAGATCAATAGCACACAGCTTGAACTGTTACAGACCATTTTTTATTGTTATAATTTATTTCCTTTCATTTGCAATTTATTTGGCACATCTTAAAATGATATAAAAATTTTTATATGACTTCGAGTACACCACAGTCAGACCCACATAATAACAATTATCTTACTAGCTTAAGTTACTAGCTTAGTGTTTCTCGATATGCATGAAACTTTTTCTTTTAATTGTCTTGAGGATCTTGGATACTTCCAGTAGAATGGATAAAACAGAATTTTAGAATCAGTTTTCTAAAATTATATTTTAGTGTCGAAAATATTAGCAAGAGAAAGAAAATAATTGTCAAGCTGCTTTTCTCAAAATTGATTGCGAAGCACTTGTAGTTGTTGTTGTAGTTGCAGTTCCTTTACGTCGCACTAGAGCTGCACAATGGGCTATTGGCGACGGTCTGGGAAACATCCCTGAGGATGATCCGAAGACATGCCATCACAATTTTGATCCTCTGCAGAGGGGATGGCACCCCCGCTTCGGTAGCCTGACGACCTGCACGCGAAGTCGAGCACTTTACGGTAGCACAGTTTAACGAGGACCAATACCGCACAACCTCGGTCCCTACGCAGACTGATCCAAGTGGTCACCCGCCCGCACACTGACCGCAGCCAGTGATGCTTGACTTCGGTGATCTGATGGGAACCGTGTCTTAACGATCAGTCCACTGCGGGACCACTTAAATATTTTAATTGCTCAACTCATGATGTCATATTAACAAACTATGTATTTAGAGAAATCCAATTAAAATTTAATGTCCTTAAAATTTTGGAATATGTGCAGAGAGTGCTTGAATTTAATTTGTTTAATCAGTAATAATTTTTTTAAAGATAGGATTGGGAAGAAAAAAAAAAGAAGCTAAATGAAGTAATGTAGACCACAATTTAATGATGAACAAGACTTTTCATTATATTATAACATGAAAAAGTCATTGCATTTTATGAAGTTGAAGAATAATTTGCTTCGAAACTTGGATTTTTTAAAAAAAAGAATGCCTCTATCTTCCTAGCATTAAAATGTTCTTGTGTCGAACAGCAAGCAAAGCAAGAGTGTTTTTTTTTTTTAATTTTGTAATAAAAAAATATTTTACTCTACAAATTTACTACATTAATAATTTTTTAGCTTCCTAAATTTACTCCACCCCATAAATTTATTCCATTAATAATTTGCTTAATGATATGCAGAGTAAATATGCAATATTTCTTTGAAGCGAAAAAAAAAAAAAAGAATTAATTTTGAAGTATACTTAAAATGTTATAAAAATTTCTTCCTCAAGTTGTTAATGATCCCCTAAAAATCCCTAATACCCCCAATGTAGACTTTAATGTCTACATTGGAGAACCTATGTTATATAATATACTATTTCCCAAAAAATTTTGAATTGTATGGTACACAAATTTTTACATCCTTTTAAACTAAGTAATGACAAAAATTAAATGATAAAATCTAGAAATTGAAGTGAATTAGTTGAATAGTTCTTCAGATAGAAATAGGACTTTTTTGAGATAGCAAAATATGCAAAAAATGAAATTAATATTTAAATGTCCAAACTTTCAAATACTAAGTCCATATTTTTCAGACTGAAGCTTCCCTGGATATTTGAGGGTCAAGAATCTAAATATGTTGCAAAAGATGTATGTTTATTTAAAAAAAAAGTAAATTTTTAGTCTGATTTCATAAACATCATCAGATAATATTGTCGCCTTTAATATAGTCTACCTTAATTAATTGGCATAATTAAAGTTAACCATAAAATGGCATTGCAATTTTGTGCTCTATGCTATGGGTTAAAATATCATTCAACTATAATTACTAAATACTAGTCAAGATATCAAACAAATTGATAAAAAATTTGAAAATCAACAATATTTATTGCTTTTTAAACTATACACTATGGTTAAATATTTTACATTATGCAAGTTAATGTAATATATTTTTATTTTGTAGCAGTAGCTAACTTTTGAAGAACCTCAAATATCTTGTCACTTCCCAAATTTTTCACAGAAACTGATGTTTCTTTTCCAAATTCTAAAAAATAAAAAATATATAAATATTTTTACATAACTCTAAAACAACAATGATCATGTCAAAATAAAAGTAATTAAGCCTAAGTTTTAAATAAACCATCATGATGAATAATTAGATTAAAATAGTACTTAAATTGAAAATAAGGTGACATTTTAAAACTATTAAGTAGTCTTATTAACAGTGCAAGTACATCGAACCCTTAATATAAGAATTACGAAAAAAAAGGAAGAAAGCTCAAAAAGTATGTGACAAAAAAATATGAAAAAATATTATGTAATAAAATTCACATGAAAATTTAATAAAAAAATAGGGAACAATAATTAATTAATTAAAATAAAGACAAACTACAGAAAGATATAACCTCATTTTCAAAACCCCACAATAGTAGCAACATGTTTAAAATTTGCCATTTATTAAGAGTTCAAATTTATGGTCATATAAGAACAAAATAAGATTGTCAGTCTCTCTTTAGTAAGTATGCCAACTTTGGAAGAATCACCATTTACTACTAAGATACTATAATGCAACCCTGCAAAATTGTATAATGCAAAATTGTAATATAACCCTGCCTCATTTGCATGATTAACATGTTTTGGAAAAAAACTATCAACATTTTTTTTAAATATAAAACAGGATACCAATTTTGAACTGCCTGCTCATCATTAATAGAAGCAGATTCATCATGAATGATTAGTAAAAAAATTCCTTTTCCAAGATTAAAACAATTTTCAGCCCTGATTTGAATGTCTTTTTCTTAACAAGTTTACAACTACAAAGCTGTTAGCATACTGTTCTGATAGTAAATAGTCAAATTTATCTTAACTGGTAATTTTAGAATTATAATTATATCAAAACTTTTCTTTTAATTAATTTGAAATCTTTACCCCCAGGCATTATCTTATCTGTACATACTAAACATAAAGAAATTTAGTATTTAATAATTGATTTTAAACACTACGTAAAATGCATTATTTAAAATAATAATAAAAAAGTATAATAAAACTTCATTCGCTTAAAAAATTTATAAAATAGAAATAACAGTCAACATATTTCAAGCGCTCACAAAAAAGCGCCCATTTTCAAAACTTTCCAGACAGGAATAAGAAGAAACAAAAGTAATTTTAAATATAAAATGTAAAGCTGTCAACGAAAAATGGAAAAGTAAGAAACTAAACTAGAAAATCCATAGAAACCGAGCGAGAAAAAGATGAAAAACAGAACAAGAAAAACAAAAGGGCCGAGAGGGGCAAATTAAGGTAAAATGCATTTCCATGCATTATGGAGAGGTGGTGAGAAACTAATGTCATTACCAAGGAAATCAGCATTCACATGAGAAAAACAGGATTTCATATGAGCTGATGTGACTAGGGTGGAAAAATAATTTTAGCATTGTCGAAATTGAATTAATACCCAAGATTTTAACAATGTGCAACAATTGATGATTTCTTGTTTTCTTGATAACAGATGTATCCAACATGTTCCTTAAGTCTAAATTTTAAAGCCAATCTAGTTTTTTTGATGTAGCCAAAATTGCACTGACAAGGAATGTGGTAAATGTCCCAGCAATTATCAAAATTAACAGGAATTTTAAAAAAATAAACTTCAATTTTATTGACAGACCAAAAAATGACTTTAAAACCATAATGGGAGAAGTTATTAGCAATTTTATAACAAACGAGAGAAAAAAACGGTAAAGAAACAAGTTCTCTGTAAGAATTAAAGGAAAAGGGTCTTTTGGATCCAGTGAGTTTAACAAGAGCTGAATGAACTATAAAAGGGTTAAATCCAAGGTTAGCAGCAAAGAGGCAGAGGAAGATAAGTTCGTAATTCAAAGAAGAAAAGCCAGAGCAAAGATTTAATATGCAGAGAACAAAAGTACAAAATGCAAAAATTTTTTGGCAATTAGGGGGATTAGAATTAACATTAGGAGGCAAAGAGACAGCAAAATGTTTATGATAAACAGAAGCGGAAAAATGATATTTAGTTACATGAACATCTAAAAAGGGTAAAGTAAAATTAATTTCTGCATTTAAGTAAATTGAATGTTGGAGTCGACCAAGTTGACAACAGAAAGAAATTCTTGAAAATCAGTATCACTGTCTACTAAGACAACCATATCATAAACATATCTTTTTCACAATATGAATAATTTTAAAACTTTTTCTTTGAAATAATGCATGGATATTCCACAAAGAATGGGATAGAGGGGCTTGCCCATGGCTAAATCTTCATCCACAAAGAATGGGATAGAGGGGCTTGCCCATAGCTAAATCTTCAATTTGTTTGTAGAAATTACCATTAAATTCAAAAGTAGTTTGGTGAATACAGAAATTGACAAGGGAGATATCTTCAATTTCAATAAAAGAGAGGGGAAATTCTTGCAATTGTAGTTTTAATCAATAAATAGCACCAAGAATGGGAACAATAGTGAAAGCATAGTTTTGTTGAAGGGGAAAAGATGTGCTAGTTGGGAAACAAAATCATAGGAATTTTTAACAATGATACACGCTAAATAGCGAGCAAGTTCATAGCACAAAGTATCAATGTTAGAGACAATAGGTCTAAAATCAAGTTGAAACTTGTGAAATTTAGGAAGGGTAAAGAAACTAAACAATTTGAAACAGTAGAAATGACAATAATAAGTTTAGTGTAGTCTAAAAGAGTACAAGAACTTGCTATTTAATTTTTAATAGTAGTAGAATAAGGAGGGTCAGACTTTAAAATTTTGTAAAGGCAAGAGGCTAATATATTCTTAACATGATTATAGTAATCAGATTGACTGAGAATAGCAGTCTACCCACCTTTATCTACTTTGGTAATAAAAATGTTCGAATGAGACTTCAGTTCATTAATAGCTTGTTTTTTAAGGTAGGTGAGATTAGATTCATTCAAGTGTTTATTTTAAGAAATAGTGTCAGAAATTAAATGTCGGAGAGTAACAATTTGACCAGGAGAAACTTCATACCACCTAAATGTTGTTTCTAATGGGTATATAATATTTGGAAGCGAAAATTTCAAAGTAGCAGTGAAATTTAAACCAAAATTATGGACCTCTTCTTTGGCTTGCTAAGATTAATAGAAGGTAAATTAACAAAAGAATGTAGGGTTAATGGTTTGACAATAGGTTGCGATTGCTTATTAACCAAATTCAGATTATTCAATTTTTTGCTAAGATTACCCATGTGTTTACAGGACAAAAAGCCAAAATAAGCATAGTTTTGTTTTTCCCAAGAACTAAACTGAGAAAAAGAATTGGTAAGGAAAAAATTAAGATTTATAAAGCCCTCTCTCAATATCTGATAAACATTTACAAGTATCTTGAATTACAGCAAACAGCACATAGAATAGCTAATTGGTACCTGTTAACAACCCTATCAACACAACGAGAATTATTAATGCTACATTTGGTTTGAATAAAATAAGGAATGACTGATAAAAACTTGCATTTAGGCAAAAAACCCAAATGATCAAGAAAACACAATTGCTAAGAAAGCATTTAAAAAGATTGATATTAGAACAATTCATAAATTAAAAGGAGGGAGGAAACCCAAGAAAATATCAAAAAGAAAAATAACATTAAATACCCAAACAAGCAAGGCAAGAAGATTTGTCTCTTTTGGTTAACAATGTTTAAAAGCAGTAATAAAGTTAATAAAAATTTTATCATGAGTTCAAGCTCGCCTAAAACCTTATTTCAGTAAACGGGTTCTAGGCTGTGCCAATCGCATCTCGATCTCTCATATATGAATTTTAAGCAATAAAATATAATTACAAGAGTGTTGTGAAGTTTTGTCAAGCACTTTTGCTTCAAGCTGTTTTTAGTGAACTATATGGCAGCACCTGCTTTGGATTTTTTACGGAAGGTAAGTAAATATAATATTACCAATATTATAATATGGTACATATTGTAACGTAACAGTGTGACAACTGAACTAAAAGCATCAATTCCTCGAGAGGTAATGCTAAAATGATGTTGCTTGAGAGACACACACGAGAAGTGATGTTCTTTTTTGTGTAGTTGAAAAAGAGAGTTCTTTTCTGAGAAGAGATATTTTTTTGGGTAATATTTTGTGATTTTTCGTGTGAATGTTTAAAATAATTGTTTGGTACAACTCACGTCTTATTTCTGGTTGTTGTGACACAACAGAATTTTACTGATGGCAGCGGCAGGATATAGTAAGAGTAGTTGATTTAAGGTAGTCAGTGATTGTATATGTAGTTTTTTATCAGTTGTAAAGTATGGCTTTTCTTAATAAAGCGAAAAAAGTGGATTTGATAGAATTGGCCGACGAATTAGGTGAATCTGTTCCACCTCAAGCAAATGTTTGTGAAATTAAAATAATAATTCAAACTAGTAAACATTATGAGGTTGAGGATGTAAAGATGTGTTTGACTCATATAACGGAGGAGAGAATTAGGCGAGAAGAACTTGAAAGACAAGAACAGCGAGAAGAACTTGAAAGACAAGAACAGCGAGAAGAACTTGAAAGACAAGAACGGCGAGAAGAACTTGAACGGCAACATCAATTGGAAATGCGTTAGACTCGAATTAGAAACAAATTCTCAAATTCAGCACCAAAACAGACCGGTGTCAGGTGAAACAAATCATAAAATACAGATTTTACAAATAACTCCAAAATTTAATGAAGGTAAAGATGAAATGTTGTTGTATCTGATAAATTTTGAACGTCGAGCAAAATGCACAAATTCCTAAAGATGAATGGGTGCCTTACCTATTGAGCGTACTACCACCCGACATTTCAAATATGTTGGCGAGAGAGTCTCCTAATGATGCCAATAACTACGACTTTGTAAAAGAATTGATTCTTAAACAATATAAGCTTAATGCAGAGGAACTCAAACAAAATTTTTATCGACATTTTAAATCACCTGAAAAATCTTGGCGAAATTTTGCACAAGAATTAAATTGCTATTTTAGCGAATGGGTTTCTGAAGTAAAAATTACCACTTTCAATGATCTTAAGAGTTTGATGGTTACC